AAGAGCAGAAAGAGACAGCCCTTAGGGAACAGGGCCTGCGGTGAAAGACCTTTTTGTATTTATTTTTGACCTTTATGTTAAACAGCCAGACCCCAAGAAGGGTTGTTGCTATTGCACTCACAAAAGTCTTTTGTGTGTAGTCTTTTGTGTGTTCTCTCCACAGGTACCGTTGCGGAGAGTGGACCAGATGATATGTCTGGGGCGAGAAAGCAGAAGGAGACTCCGCTGGTTGGAAGGCATGAGATGCGATGTCCTGAGGTTGGGGGTTCCACGACCACCACTCCCAAGAGGAGGAGGCGGGTGGTGGTGGTCGGGGACTCTCTCCTCCGGGGGACCGAGTCATCTATCTGCCGCCCTGACCGGGAAAACCGAGAAGTCTGCTGCTTGCCAGGGGCTAAGATTCGCGATGTGACGGAGAGACTGCCGAGACTCATCAAGCCCTCGGATCGCTACCCCTTCCTGCTTCTCCACGTGGGCACCAATGATACTGCCAAGAATGACCTTGAGTGTATCACTGCGGACTACGTGGCTCTGGGAAGAAGGATAAAGGAGTTGGAGGCGCAAGTGGTGTTCTCGTCCATCCTCCCCGTGGAAGGAAAAGGCCTGGGTAGGGACCGTCGAATCGTGGAAGTCAATGAATGGCTACGCAGGTGGTGTCGGAGAGAAGGCTTTGGATTCTTTGACCACGGGATGGTGTTCCATGAAGGAGGAGTGCTGGGCAGAGACGGGCTCCATCTTACGAAGAGAGGGAAGAGCATCTTTGCCAGCAGGCTGGCTAACCTAGTGAGGAGGGCTTTAAACTAGGTTCACCGGGGGAAGGAGACCAAAGCCCTGAGGTAAGTGGGAAAGCGGGATACCGGGAGGAAGCACAGGCAGGAATGTCTGTGAGGGGAGGGCTCCTGCCTCATACTGGGAATGAGGGGCGATCAACAGGTTATCTCAAGTGCTTATATACAAATGCACAAAGCCTTGGTAACAAGCAGGGAGAACTGGAGGTCCTGGTGATGTCAAAGAACTATGACGTGATTGGAATAACAGAGACTTGGTGGGATAACTCACATGACTGGAGTACTGTCATGGATGGTTATAAACTGTTCAGGAAGGACAGGCAGGGCAGAAAAGGTGGGGGAGTAGCACTGTATGTAAGGGAGCAGTATGACTGCTCAGAGCTCCGGTACGAAACTGTAGAAAAACCTGAGTGTCTCTGGATTAAGTTTAGAAGTGTGTGCAACAAGAGTGATGTAGTGGTGGGAGTCTGCTATAGACCACCGGACCAGGGGGATGAGGTAGATGAGGCTTTCTTCCGGCAGCTCACGGAAGCTACTAGATCGCATGCCCTGATTCTCATGGGTGACTTTAATTTTCCTGATATCTGCTGGGAGAGCAATAAAGCGGTGCATAGACAATCCAGGAAGTTTTTGGAAAACGTAGGGGACAATTTCCTGGCACAAGTGCTAGAGGAGCCAACTGGGGGGGCGCTTTTCTTGACCTGCTGCTCACAAACCAGGTAGAATTAGTGGGGGAAGCAAAAGTGGATGGGAATCTGGGAGGCAGTGACCATGAGTTGGTTGAGTTCAGGATCCTGACGCAGGGAAGAAAGGTAAGCAGCACGATACGGACCCTGGACTTCAGGAAAGCAGACTTTGACTCCCTTAGGGAACGGCTGGCCAGGATCCCCTGGGGGACTAACTTGAAGGGGAAAGGAGTCCAGGAGAGCTGGCTGTATTTCAAGGAATCCCTGTTGAGGTTACAGGGACAAACCATCCCGATGAGTCGAAAGAATAGTAAATATGGCAGGCGACCAGCTTGGCTTAATGGTGAAATCCTAGCGGATCTTAAACATAAAAAAGAGGCTTACAAGAAGTGGAAGATTGGACATATGACCAGGGAAGAGTATAAAAATATTGCTCGGGCATGTAGGAATGATATCAGGAGGGCCAAATCGCACCTGGAGCTGCAGCTAGCAAGAGATGTCAAGAGTAACAAGAAGGGTTTCTTCAGGTATGTTGGCAACAAGAAGAAAGCCAAGGAAAGTGTGGGCCCCTTACTGAATGAGGGAGGCAACCTAGTGACAGAGGATGTGGAAAAAGCATTAATGTACTCAATGCTTTTTTTGCCTCTGTTTTCACTAACAAGGTCAGCTCCCAAACTGCTGCGCTGGGCATCACAAAATGGGGAAGAGATGGCCAGCCCTCTGTGGAGATAGAGGTGGTTAGGGACTATTTAGAAAAGCTGGACATGCACAAGTCCATGGGGCCGGACGAGTTGCATCCGAGAGTGCTGAAGGAATTGGCGGCTGTGATTGCAGAGCCATTGGCCATTATCTTTGAAAACTCGTGGCGAACGGGGGAAGTCCCGGATGACTGGAAAAAGGCTAATGTAGTGCCAATCTTTGAAAAAGGGAAGAAGGAGGATCCTGGGAACTACAGGCCAGTCAGCCTCACCTCAGTCCCTGGAAAAATCATGGAGCAGGTCCTCAAAGAATCAATCCTGAAGCACTTGCATGAGAGGAAAGTGATCAGGAACAGCCAGCATGGATTCACCAAGGGAAGGTCATGCCTGACTAATCTAATCGCCTTTTATGATGAGATTACTGGTTCTGTGGATGAAGGGAAAGCAGTGGATGTATTGTTTCTTGACTTTAGCAAAGCTTTTGACACGGTCTCCCACAGTATTCTTGTCAGCAAGTTAAGGAAGTATGGGCTGGATGAATGCACTATAAGGTGGGTAGAAAGCTGGCTAGATTGTCGGGCTCAACGGGTAGTGATCAATGGCTCCATATCTAGTTGGCAGCTGGTATCCAGTGGAGTGCCCCAAGGGTCGGTCCTGGGGCCGGTTTTGTTCAATATCTTCATAAATGATCTGGAGGATGGTGTGGATTGCACTCTCAGCAAATTTGCGGATGATACTAAACTGGGAGGAGTGGTAGATATGCTGGAGGGCAGGGATAGGATACAGAGGGACCTAGACAAATTGGAGGATTGGGCCAAAAGAAATCTGATGAGGTTCAATAAGGATAAGTGCAGGGTCCTGCACTTAGGATGGAAGAATCCAATGCACTGCTACAGACTAGGGACCGAATGGCTAGGCAGCAGTTCTGCGGAAAAGGACCTAGGGGTGACAGTGGACGAGAAGCTGGATATGAGTCAGCAGTGTGCCCTTGTTGCCAAGAAGGCCAATGGCATTTTGGGATGTATAAGTAGGGGCATAGCGAGCAGATCGAGGGACGTGATCGTTCCCCTCTATTCGACATTGGTGAGGCCTCATCTGGAGTACTGTGTCCAGTTTTGGGCCCCACACTTCAAGAAGGATGTGGATAAATTGGAGAGAGTCCAGCGAAGGGCAACAAAAATGATTAGGGGTCTAGAACACATGAGTTATGAGGAGAGGCTGAGGGAGCTGGGATTGTTTAGCCTGCAGAAGAGAAGAATGAGGGGGGATTTGATAGCTGCTTTCAACTACCTGAAAGGGGGTTCCAAAGAGGATGGCTCTAGACTGTTCTCAATGGTAGCAGATGACAGAACGAGGAGTAATGGTCTCAAGTTGCAGTGGGGGAGGTTTAGATTGGATATTAGGAAAAACTTTTTCACTAAGAGGGTGGTGAAACACTGGAATGCGTTACCTAGGGAGGTGGTAGAATCTCCTTCCTTAGAGGTTTTTAAGGTCAGGCTTGACAAAGCCCTGGCTGGGATGATTTAACTGGGAATTGGTCCTGCTTCGAGCAGGGGGTTGGACTAGATGACCTTCAGCGGTCCCTTCCAACCCTGATATTCTATGATTCTATGATTCTATGATTCTAGAGTTTATTGAGGAGCCTGAAGAGGGGAAATTGAGACAGTTCCACCCCAGGTCACAAGGGGCATTCAGGAGGTAGCTGACCCTGTTATACTCCCTAAATAATAGGGATCTATCTGCAGGCTTTTCAGTCTGGATTAAGGCATAGGCCCGGTAGGTCCATGCCTGGGGCCCCAGCTCCTGTCATTACAGGATGAGATCGGAATTCTGCTTGCATTAAAAATCAACTATACTTCGAGCCCTTGTGGATGCAAAGGAAACTTGAAAATATGTTCTGAGCATAACTGATGTCTGCAGACAGCCTGGAACAAGAGGTCCCAGAGGTGTGAACTGGCCCATTCATCTTAACTCGGACACCTGCTGCCATTCTAGGGAGGGGCAGAGCCATAACAAGGGGGGAGGCAGTGTGGGGGCCTCACATGGATTGTGGGTAGGACCTCAGATTGCCATCATCTGACACCAAGGCTTTCTAAGTGGTGCATGAGGAAATGGATGGGCACAGAGTCCAAGTGATCAGTGGACTAGCCACCTGTGGGCCATGAGGAGACATGTGACTTAGTCAAATGGACAGAAAGCATCTCAAGCAAACCTCTGTGTTGTGTACTGTACCTCTGCTCCTTCTCCACAGCTACAGAGGGCTGCTCTGTGACTCAGCTCACAGGGAAATCCTTTACTGCCTCTTTGTGTTTCATATAAATGCTGCTAACGACTCATTGCTATGGACACTGAGTCAGCTCCCCACCTGATGTAAATCAGCATCTCTCCATTGAAGCCAGATCCCCAGCAGGCATAAATCAGTTATCTTTCCACTGAAATCAATGGAGTGATGTCTCTTTACACTAGCTGAGGATCTGGCCTGACCATTTCCTGTTTGCCGAGTAGGATAGCTATGTGCTGTGCCTCAGACTTATCAGCTTGGCTGGATCTCTTGCCAGATACACCTGATTGTTAGGTAGCCACCTTGGCAATGAATAGCTCAGATGGAGTTTGCACTCTTTCAGTTATGTAGGAGGAAAACACTGGGCTTATTAATACCTTAGAATGTCTCTCCACTGGCTGCTCCTCCCACAAGGCACCTGCTCCCAGCCTTCTCTGCCTTCCCTCCCCCACCTGCATGCATACCTGGCTGTACTGGGGAAGGTAAGGCTTGCACCACCAAAGGAGCTCTGCAGAGAGGAGGGGATCTTTGCCCTGGCTTTGTAGCCATGGCTGTGAAAGTTTCTCATTGGCGCAGCTATCTGTGAGTGATACTTTCCCACGAAGGTCGGAGGATGGAGCATTTCCAGAGGGCAGAGAAAATCTTGCTGACTGTGCTGGAGAAGGTCACTGCCATGGATTTCAGATTTATAGCTGATTATTCAAGAAACCTGGAAGCTTTTGAATTTGCCCTCTGTACCTCAGAGAATGCAGTAACTGTGGGGGTTCCCTTGTGGATTGCAGCTGATGCCCTCTGTGACCATGCACTCCTAAGGCTTTATGGAAATATGTTTATGAATGTATATATGGTATAACTGGAATATTTTTTATGCTACATATCTCTGTGAAGGTTATAGAATCATAGAATATCAGAGTTGGAAGGGACCTCAAGAGGTCATCTAGTCCAACCCCCTGCTCAAAGCAGGACCAATCCCCAACTAAATCATTCCAGCCAGGGCTTTGTCAAGCCTGACCTTAAAAACTTCTAAGGAAGGAGATTCCAACACCTCCCTAGGTAACGCATTCCAGTGTTTCACCACCCTCCTAGTGAAAAAATGTTTCCTAATATCCAACTTAAACTTCTCCCACTGCAACTTGAGACCATTACTCCTCGTTCTGTCATCTGCTACCACTGAGAGCAGTCTAGATCCTTTGGAACCCCCTTTCAGGTAGTTGAAAGCAGCTATCAAATCCCCCCTCATTCTTCTCTTCCACAAGACTAAACAATCCCAGTTCCCTCAGCCTCTCCTCGTAAGTCATGTGTTCCAGTCCCCTAATCATTTTTGTTGCCCTCCGCTGGACGTTTTCCAATGTTTCCACATCCTTCTTGTAGTGTGGGGCCCAAAACTGGACACAGTACTCCAGATGAGGCCTCACCAATGCCGAATAGAGGGGAACGATCACGTCCCTCGATCTGTTGGCAATGTCCCAACTTATACATACCAAAATGCTATTAGCCTTCTTGGCAACAAGGGCACACACTTGACTCATATCCAGCTTCTCGTCCACTATAACGCCTAGGTCCGTTTCTGCAGAACTGCTGTCTAGCCATTCAGTCCCTAGTCTGTAGCAGTGCATGGGATTCTTCCGTCCTAAGTGCAGGACTCTGCACTTGTCCTTGTTGAACCTCATCAGATTTCTTTTGGCCCAATCCTCTAATTTGTCTAGGGCCCTCTGTATCCTATCCCTACCCTCCAGTGTATCTAGCACTCCTCCCAGTTTAGTGTCATCTGCAAACTTGCTGAGGGTGCAATCCACACCATCCTCCAGATCTTTAAGAAAGATATTGAACAAAACCGGTCCGAGGACCGACCTTTGGGGCACTCCACTGGATACCGGCTGCCAACTAGACATGCAACCATTGATCACTACCCGTTGAGCCCGACAATCTAGCCAGCTTTCTATACACCTTATCATCCATTCATCCAGCCCATACTTCTTTAACTTACTGTCAAGAATACTGTGGGAGACCGTGTCAAAAGCTTTGCTAAAGTCAAGGAACAACATGTCCACTGCTTTCCCCTCATCCACAGAGCCAGTTATCTCATCATAGAAGGCAATTAGATTAGTCAGGCATGACTTGCCCTTGGTGAATCCGTGCTGACTGTTCCTGATCACTTTCCTCTCCTCTAAATACTTCAGAATTGATTCCTTGAGGACCTGCTCCATGATTTTTCCAGGGACTGAGGTGAGGCTGACTGGCCTGTAGTTCCCAGGATCCTCCTTCTTCCCTTTTTTAAAGATGGGCACTACATTAGCCTTTTTCCAGTCGTCCGGGACCTCCCCCGATCGCGACAAGTTTTCAAAGATAATGGCCAATGGCTCTGCAATCACATCTGCCAACTTCTTTAGCACCTTCAGATGCAGTGCATCTGACTCCATGGACTTGTGCTCATCCAGCTTTTCTAAATAGTCCCAAACCACTTCTTCCTTCACAGAGGGCTGGTCACCTCCTCCCCATGCTGTGCTGCCCAGTGCAGCAGTCTGGGAGCTGACCTTGTTCGTGAAGACAGAGGCAAAAAAAAGCATTGAGTACGTTAGCTTTTTCCACATCCTCTGTCACTAGGTTGCCTCCCTCATTCAGTAAGGGGCCCACACTTTCCTTGACTTTCTTCTTGTTGCTAACATACCTGAAGAAACCCTTCTTGTTACTCTTAACATCTCTTGCTAGCTGCACCTCCAGGTGTGATTTGGCCTTCCTGATTTCACTCCTGCATGCCTGAGCAATATTTATATACGCTTCCCTGGTCATTTGTCCAGTCTTCCACTTCTTGTCAGCTTCTTTTTTGTGTTTAAGATCAGCAAGGATTTCACTGTTAAGCCAAGCTGGTCGCTTGCCATATTTACTATTCTTTCTACACATCGGGATGGTTTGTCCCTGTAACCTCAATAAGGATTCTTTAAAATACAGCCAGCTCTCCTGGACTCCTTTCCCCCTCATGTTATTCTCCCAGGGGATCCTGCCCATCAGTTCCCTGAGGTTGTCAAAGTCTGCTTTTCTGAAGTCCAGGATCCGTATTCTGCTGCTCTCCTTTCTTCCCTGTGTCAGGATCCTGAACTCCACCATCTCATGGTCACTGCCTCCCAGGTTCCCATCCACTTTTGCTTCCCCTACTAATTCTTCCTGGTTTGTGAGCAGCAGGTCAAGAAGAGCTCTGCCCCTAGTTGGTTCCTCCAGCACTTGCACCAGGAAATTGTCCTCTATCTTTCCAAAAACTTCCTGGATTGTCTGTGTACCACTGTATTGCTCTGCCAGCAGATATCAGGGTGATTGAAGTCTCCCATGAGAACCAGGGCCTGTGATCTAGTAACTTCCGTTAGTTGCCGGAAGAAAGCCACCTCATCCCCCTGATCCGATGTTCTATAGCAGACTCCCACCATGACATCACCTTTGTTGCTCACGGTTCTAAACTTAATCCAGAGACACTCAGGTTTTTCTGCAGTTTCATAGCAGAGCTCTGAACAGTCATATTGCTCTCTTACATCCAGTGCTACTCCCCCACCTTTTCTGCCCTGTCTGTCCTTCCTGAACAGTTTATATCCACCCATCAAGTACTCCAATCATGTGAGTTATCCCACCAAGTCTCTGTGATTCCAATCACATCATAATTCCTTGACTGTGCCAGGACTTCCAGTTCTCCCTGCTTGTTTCCCAGGCTTCTTGCATTTGTGTATAGGCACTTGAGATAACTTGCTGTTTGTCCTGCTTTCTTAGTATGAGGCAGGAGCCCTCCCTTTTCGTGTTCTCCTGCTCGTGCTTCCTACCGGTATCCTACATCCCCACTTACCTCAGGGCTTTGGTCTCCTTCCCCTGGTGAACCTAGTTTAAAGCCCTCCTCACGAGGTTAGCCAGCCTGATTGGGAAGATGCTTTTCCCTCTCTTCGTTAGGTGGAGCCTGTCTCTGCCTAGCACTCCTCCTTCTTGGAACACCGTTCCATGATCAAAGAATCCAGTTATGATCTACTGAATCTATTCATCCTATTTGTATGCATGTGTCATTGTTGTATTCAAAGTTATGAATATTAGCTGTATACTTGTTTGATTTTAAATAGCATTAGTAAGGCATTTGGTCAGCTTCTTTAGAAAGGAATTTGCAAGTTAAGTGCCCAATCAAGAAGCACTTAATGCACAATGGATCATGGAAGGCTCCAATCCACATAAGAGGTCTACATGAAGATGTTCAAGGTAGCATGTGGACAATGGCTGCTGACTGTAAAAACTGAATCATGCATGGACATGTGACTTGCCCAAGTGACTCCAGAACTCCATCCTGGAGCTGGACTTTACATAGGAGAGAGGAGGGGGCCTGCACTCACAAGAGAACGGCTATTTAAACCTCTGGCAGACCCCTCCATTTTGTCTTCAGCTAGCTAAAGAGGGAGCCTCTCCACCCCCAAGGATACCTGAAAGAAACTGGAACAAAGGACAGTAACTACAGCGGGTGTGAGTGGTTGCTGGACCCAGACTAGAAGGAGACTAGTCTGTAAAAGGAAGCTTACTGGAATTCCTCTGAGGGTGAGGTATTTATCTATATTCAGTTTTCTTACTGTATTAGACATAGACTTGCATGTTCTATTTTATTTTGCTTGGTAATCAACTTTGTTCTGTCTGCTATTACTTGGTACCACTTAAATCCTACTTTCTGTATTTAATAAAATCACTTTTTACTTATCAGTTAACCCAGAGTATGTATTAATACCTGGGAGGGCAAACAGCTGTGCATATCTCTCTATCAGTGTTATAGACGGTGAACAATTTATGAGTTTACCCTGTATAAGCTTTATACAGGGTAAAACGGATTTATTTGGGGTTTGGACCCCATTGGGAGTTGGGCATCTGAGTGTTAAAGACAGGAACACTTCTTAAGCTGCTTTCAATTAAGCCTACAGCTGTTAGGGGACGTGGTTCAGACCTGGGTCTGGGTTTGCAGCAGGCTAGCAGGTCTGGCTCAAACTGGACAGGGCACTGAAGTCCCAAGCTGGGAGGGCAGGGGCAGCAGGGGTAGAAGTAGTCTTGGCACATCAGTTGGCAGCCCCAAGGTGGTTTCTGTGTCACACTCTCCTGCTGCCGGAGTGCTCTAGTAAACAGGGCCAGTCAGAGACAGTTACCAATGGGCACCATCAGATGTCAGGCTGCTGTGACCTAGGAGTGCCCAAAGAAGGAGCTGGCTGGGAAAATTGGACCAGAGAGGATGTGTTCAGTGTGGTGGACAGCGCTGAGTGCAGGGGGCACATACTGCCAGGCAAGGTCCTTAGGCTCCTGAAAGAGCTAATTTTCATTGCCATTGTCCACTGCAGGCACCAGTTCCTCATTAAGCCAGGTCTGTATGCCAACTACATCTGTGGGGGTGTGGGCCAGTGGAGCAGAGTGACCACAGGGGTTCTGTGGTTTGACTAGAGGCCTGCTATCTCTTTGCTCCTGGCCCAGAACGGGGGAAGGGGACAGAGATGCAGATGGCAAGAGACAAAAAGGGAAACAAGGAGAGGCACAGACAGAGGCTGAGAGGTGCGGGGAATGGGAAGAGGAGAAGGAGAGAGGAAGAAGATGGAACAAGTTGGAAAAGACACATCAGGTTATTCAGACCATATGATATGTGATATGACAAGAAAGGTCTTTAATAGGTTTCAGATCGATAACGGGTCAATAAACTATATAGAAGTGATGGTTGTTACCCCAAAATGAACATAAACTGAAAGGCTGGATTCCGAACTCCCACCGATGCCAGGAAAGAGAAAAGCTATTCAGTCAGAACTGGAATCTACCAGTAAAGCACAGAGCAATGACAGAGAAACTCAGTTCCCCTCTCATCCCAAGATACACTGCTTGGTCCACTGAGGACAGAGTGGCCCATTGATGGAGACATAAAAAAGAGGTTGCCAACTTTAGATCCCAGTGTCTGTTCAAACTCTGACTTAGTTAGTTACATACTCTGCAGAGTGGGGAAAATAAACAACAATAAACAATAAACAAATAAATAAACAACAGAGTGGGGAAAATAAACAACAAAACAAAACATCTAGAGAGGTTAATTTCTTCGTGTTGTGCAATGCTGTTGGCACAGGATATCTTCAGTGTTTCACTCTAGAGGTGGTTGCATTTCAGTGGTGGGTGAGAAAGCCCCATGGAGTGGCTATAGTCTAGAGTGCTTTGGGATTTTTCAGGTCGAAAGGGCTCGATATGCCATTTGATTACAATTCAGTACCACACTGAAATAAAGTTCCTTGACACCAGTAAAGTCAATGGGAGTTTTCCACTGACTTGAAAGGGGCCGGGGTTTCCCCACTGTAACTAAGGATACCCTAATAAAAGGTTACCCAGTGCATCTCAATGACTACAAAGCTTTGTTATGAACCAGCTATATATTCTACTTCCCTGTTCTTGTCTAGCTTCACTTGACTGTTGCCTTCAGTCTCCAGACGTTTTTATGTCACGCTTCTCCTGCTTCTCAATGACCAGATGACTGTTAAACTGTGGACATTGTCCTGGTCTCAGGTCTTGCTCTCTAGATTAAAAACATCACTGCTAGTGGTATGATAAAGAAGTGACCATATTGAAGTTAATCATAGGCTAGTGAGGTATTGCTGACCTCTCTGTTCTGTGAAATAGAACTATGAGTGGGACCAGTTCAAAGAGGGCTTACTACAAGCTCAGCTAAGCAGGACACTTGTTCCAGGCAGGGAGAAGACACTGGGGGGGCATCGCTTGATACAAGATCCAGAAGGAACTATGTAGGGTCTGGAAAGAGGTAAAGAGTCTGCAGAGAGGGAGCCCAGGCAGGGGCTGGGGAAAGGGGCAGGCTGAGGCAGGAAGTGGTCCAGGAAGGCAGTTAAAACTAGCTATTTACCACAAGCACCCAGGACTGGACCCTAGAGAAGAGGAAGGGCCAGGGTTCCCCTACCAGCCACTGAGGAAGGGGCTGTGAAAACTGACCTGATACAAGGGGTAAGGACTGTTGGAAGCTCTGGGGAAAAGGAGTGTAAGGAGAACTGGGCCCAGAGTTGGGGCTAGGGTTGCCACCTGTCCAGGTTTTCCCAGGATTGCCCCTTTGTTGAGGTAGCAGACACGGATGAAATGGTTCAGATGTCCCAGTTGGTTGTACCTCAGAGGTGGCAAGCCTGGCTGGGGCTGAGGACCTGGCATAATGTCACTGGACAGTTGTTCATGGAACTCTGTTACCCTTGAAGGGATTGAATGTGACATAGTCAGAGGGCCAAGTCATATGATGAGGCAGACTGCTCCAAGGCCAAAGATGCTGTCGTTAGGGGTGTTAGAGGAGGAGGGACTGCTATCCCATGCCCAGCCACAAGAGGGTGCCAGCCAGTGAGTCACTCTTCTACGCACAACTGTTTGTCTGTCCAACCATCTGACTCACCAAACACCCACTTGTCTGTCTAGCTAAGCATCCTTCTCCATGTTTCCATCAACACATATTTCTGTCAGGTGCCAGCTCATGCCAAGCTCACCTCAATCCCTGGAAAATCATGGAGCAGATCCTCAAGGAATCAATTTTAAAGCATTTATAGGAGAGGAAAGTGATCAGGAACAGTCAGCATGGATTCACCAAGGGCAAGACATGCCAGACTAACCTAATTGCCTTCTATGATGAGATAACTGGCTCTGTGGATGAGGGGAAAGCAGTGGATGTGTTATTCCTTGACTTTAGCAAAGCTTTTGACACGGTCTCCCACAGTATTCTTGACAGTAAGTTAAAGAAGTATGGGCTGGATGAATGCACTATAAGGTGGGTAGAAAGCTGGCTAGATTGTCGGGCTCAACGGGTAGTGATCAATGGCTCCATGTCTAGTTGGCAGCCAGTATCAAGCGGAGTGCCCCAAGGGTCGGTCCTGGGGCCGGTTTTGTTCAATATCTTCCTTAATGATCTGGAGGATGGCGTGGATTGCATCCTCAGCAAGTTTGCAGATGACACTAAACTGGGAGGAGTGGTAGATACGCTGGAAGGTTGGGATAGGATACAGAGGGCCCTAGACAAATTAGAGGATTGGGCCAAAAGAAATCTGATGAGGTTCAACAAGGCAGAGTCCTGACAGACTAGGGACTGAATGGCTAGGCAGCAGTTCTGCAGAAAAGGACCTAGGGGTTACAGTGGACAAGAAGCTGGATATGAGTCAACAGTGTGCCCTTGTTGCCAAGAAGGCCAATGCAATTTGGGCTGTATAAGTATGGGCATTGCCATCAGATCAAGGGACGTGATAATTCCCCTCTATTCGGCATTGGTGAGGCCTCATCCGGAGTACTGTGTCCAGTATTGGGCCCTACACTACAATGAGGATGTGGAAAAATTGGAAAGAGTCCAGCGGAGGGCAACAAAAATGATTAGGGGACTGGAACACATGACTTATGAGGAGAGGCTGTGGGAACTGGGATTATTTAGTCTGCAGAAGAGAAGAATGAGGGGGATTTGATAGCTGCTTTCAACTACCTGAAAGGGGGTTCCAAAGAGGATGGATCTAGGCTGTTCTCAGTGATACCAGATGACAGAACAAGGAGTAATGGTCTCAAGTTGGAGTGAGAGAGGTTTAGGTTGGATATTAGGAAAACGTTTTTCACTAGGAGGGTGGTGAAACACTGGAATGGGTTACCTAGTGAGGTGGTGATTCTATGAAGATCCCCTTGCCTCACTTGAACACTGACATATACCGAGTTGGAATCAGTCTGGCTCACCTGACTGTTAGTATGGTTAAAACAGGAGCTAGAATGCTAAGAATGTGTTTAATCTTTAGAGTTATGGAATGCTGGTGAGCTGCTATGTGCATTAATCTTACTTATCACACCTGTATCCCATAGTGTAAGGTTATATTTGAGCGGTTGTATTGTGAGCCGCTGTGACTGTGTAAATCACCATACAGGAGAGCGACATTAATTAGTGTGAAGGGTTGATCCCAACAGAAGGTGTTACGCCCTTTCCAAAAGGACGATCTATCAATACCAGATAGACTATTGTGGGATGTTGCAACTGGAATTTCCGTATGTGCCACCAACAAGAGGACAAAAGACTTTTCTTGTTATTGTGCATCCTCCCTGTGAAGATGACTCTTCCCATCAGCTGAGCTTTGCAACTGAAAGCATGTGGGAAGAAGAGAATAAAACCCCTATCAAGAAGGGACTGATTATTTCTATGTTGCTTGTGAGGAGCAAGATATTTTTAGGAATAAGCAAGAGATCCCCAGCTGCTTAGCCTGGATTAGCCCTAAAGGATGTATAGAGCTTGTTGGTTATAGAAGCTTCTATTACCTTTTGAAATTGAAGATTGTAACTCATTTGTGTGTCTATTGTTTATCCGCTTTAACCTTTTAAATAACTTTCTTGTTTCCTTTTCATATTTAATAAGTCTTTATGTAGTTTATTATAGGCTAGGCTATACATGTTGTTGTCTTTGGTGTGAGATATAAGATGCAACTGACGTGGGGTAAGTGACTGGTCCTTTGGGACTGGGAGTACTCTGAATATCGCTGTGATTCTTGGTGTAAGAGACCAGGTATCACAAATGTACACTCACCTGGATGGCTAAACAGATCAGTGTACCCAGGGGAACTGTCTATCGCTCCATGTTAAGTGTTATAGTGCCTGGGGAGCTCACAATTGATAATTGGTTGGTGAAATCTAAGCACAGAACTCACCACCAATTTGGGGTTTGTGCCCTGGTTCCTAACAGTTTGCACAGAGATTGGTACTCATGCTCTTGGGTCATGCAGGCAGTGTGACAGCTATATCCATCTCCCAACTGTACTCTTTATCACTCTGCTCCTGCCTCCCTGACCCCATCACCAGCGTTACATCCTTGTTCTTCTGACCACTGTGCTGTGTTGGGAGTTTGTTCAGAAAGGAGAGCATTCAAACCCAGCCTCTTGGTCTGCCAAATGGGGGGACAAATACAGAAAGGGAGTGTCTGGAGCAAAGACCACCTCAGTGCTACAGGCCCTGTCCCCTGTCTCCTGCTCTGCCCCAGTGATAAGTATCTAGGAAATGTTGACCTGCCTATTAGTTTTGTGTCCTTTTAACTAACAAACCAAGCAGCTGCTGTACGACGTCTGGAGGGGGAAGAATGAACTCACATGCATCCGAGCAGAGATGCCAGGTTCTTCATTTCAAAACTTTTTCTTAATTTCATCCATTGATCTCGCTCCAGCAGCAGCCATTGCCATGGTCTGTTGCCCTTGCCCATAGGTGCTGAAACAAGGTGAATTCTCATTCTCTCCCAGACTGTCTTGCCTGGTATGCAGTGGAGACTGGATGATGCACTACTGCTAAACATCCATCCAGGAAAAGCAGTTCTATTTTAAAGAACAGGGCAAGAGCTACCAGTCTCAGGGTCCTGCTCGGCTGAACTGGAACTTGTCTCCAAGGCAGACAAGGCTTAAAGAGGAAAGGGGGGGGGGAGGGAAGAGAGGATCAGGAGATTTCTGACTGTTGTTTTCTAAAAGCAACTTCTGCCCTTGACCAGGTGACCTCAGCGCTGAAAGCCTAAAGGAAGAAGGTCTGCAGCTGTCCCTGCTGCTGTCCCGTGGCTGGAAAATGATCAGGTTCAACATTATCCCTGTGGTGCAGAGAAAGCAGAGTGCTCTGAAACTCCACAACAGATGCAGAGAAGGAAGTTTTGCAGAAGGCAGCCTGCAAAAAGTAACACGGGGCTGACTTCGTCCCCAGCAGCTACTATCACTGGAGGTAAACACCAAGCTATACTCCTGCCATCCGAACCCCTTCCTGAAACCTTACCGGGAGAGAGACAGAGGGTTTGTCTGCCATACAGACTACCAGTGGGGATGCAGTCTTAAGCAATGGAGTATAGTTCTGTAGAATTTAAAAGAGCTAGTGAAAAATGGAGGGAACTTCTTGATTCTGTAAATTTTGATGATTTTGTTTGCTGTTTTCCATCCAAATTTGAAGTTTCTATGAAAATTTTCATCAACATTTGAAAATGTTATCTTCAAAATTTGAAAAATTTCAATCAACTCTAAATAAAGTTCAGCCTTTCACTAGGAAGAAAAGTCCTAATAAAATGAGGACCCTGCAATGGAGTTCAGGGCCAGTGTAATACATGGTGAACCACAAGATCTACTGCTGAGTTCAACTGCCATACCATGCTGGCCGCTCCTGGGTTCTTCTATGGAGTTGTCATGATCACTACTATCTTCACCCTGGAGCACAGGGCAGATTCTGTTGCCTCAGCTGGGAGCTCTGTTACTGTCCCAGCTCTGTTGCTCCCAGCTGGGAATGCTGTTACTGAGCTATCAGTGATGGTCTCTCTTTGGGCTACTCATCCTGCTCTGTCTCCCCTGCTGCCAACCACAGGAACCCACCTCTGAGACTGGGATATTGGAGATCCGCCACCAGCCCAGTCTTAGCCCCAGTGCCCTTTTGGGAGGTGAGGTCTCTGACTCCACAAAGGGGTAGGCAAGAAGTTTGGTGTCACAAAGCCACCAGACTGCCTCCCCTGAGAGGGTGGTGTGACATTGCACTCCATTTGTTTTATGCAAATATGCTTATAAATGTGAATAGGATGTAACTGGAATATGCTTTATGCAAAAGGTCTCTTGTAAGGTATCATTACAAAACTTATAATCTACTGAGTGTGTTCATCCTATTTGTTTGCATGTATCATTTCTATGTCTGGAGTTAGAAGAATAAGATATAAACTTGTATTACTAATGTAAACATGTTAAGTGGAAGCCATTAAGGGTTCTTCAAAATCAATGAACTGTAAATGGCTCTTTTCAGAGGAACAGCCGTGTTAGTCTGTATTCGCAAAAAGAAAAGGAGTACTTGTGGCACCTTAGAGACTAACCAATTTATTTGAGCATGAGCTTTCGTGAGCCACAGCTCACTTACTTGCAAACTTTCCTGTGTAAGTGTGGGCCAGCCCAGGAAGAATGGAGTCTGGGGTCTCACAGGACATGTGACCATGTCACATGATGCTGGAATCCATCTTAAATCTGGTACTTTTCCATTTAGAAGGAGGGGTGGGATCCCAGAGAGGCTAGTGGCGTTCATCATCTGGACCCATGGAAAAGAAGCCCTTGAGGAATTCCACCATGATTTCAACTATTTCCATCCCACCATCAACCTCAGCCTGGACCAGTCCACACAAGAGATCCACTTCCTGGACGCTACAGTGCTAATAAGCAATGGTCACATAAACACCACCCTATACCAGAAACCTACTGACCGCTATGCCTACCTATATGCCTCCAGCTTTCATCCAGACCACACCACGTGTTCCATTGTCTACAGCCAAGCTCTACGATACAACCGCATTTGCTCCAACCCCTCAGACAGAGACAAACACCTACAAGATCTCTATCAAGCATTCTTACAGCTACAATACCCACCTGCTGAAGTGAAGAAACAGATTGACAGAGCCAGAAGAGTACCCAGAAGTCACCTACCACAGGACAGGCCCAACAAAGAAAATAACAGAATGCCACTAGCCATCACCTTCAGCCCCCAACTAAAACCTCTCCAACGCATCATCAAGGATCTACAGCCTATCCTGAAGAACGACCCATCACTCTCACAGATCTTGGGAGACAGGCCAGTCCTTGCTTACAGACAGCCCCCCAACCTGAAGCAAATACTCACCAGCAACCACACACCACACAACAGAACCACTAACCCAGGAACCTATCCTTGCAACAAAGCCCATTGCCAACTGTGTCCACATATCTATTCAGGGGACACCATCATAGGGCCTAATCACATCAACCACAATATCAGAGGCTCGTTTACTGCACATCTACCAATGTGATATATGACATCATGTGCCAGCAATGCCCCTCTGCCATGTACATTGGTCAAACTGGACAGTCTCTACATAAAAGGATAAATGGACACAAATCAGACATCAAGAATTATAACATTCAAAAACCAGTCGGAGAACACTTCAATCTCTCTGGTCACTCGATTACAGGCCTAAAAGTGGCAATACTTCATCAAAAAAACTTCAAAAACAGACTCCAACGAGAGACTGCTGAATTGGAATTAATTTGCAAACTGGATACGATTAACTTCGGCTTGAATAGAGTCCGGGAGTGGATGGGTCATTACACGAAGTAAAACTATTTCCCCATGTTTATCCCCCACCCCCCACTGTTCCTCAGACATTCTTGTCAACTGCTGGAAATGGCCCACCTTGATTATCACTGCAAAAGGTTCCCCTCTTCCTCCCACCGCTCTCCTGCTGGTAATAGCTCACCTTAAGTGATCACTCTGGTTATAGTGTGTATGGTAACACCCATTGTTTCATGTTCTCTTTGTATATAAATCTCCCCACTGTATTTTCCACTGAATGCATCCGATGAAGTGAGCTGTAGCTCACGAAAACTTATGCTCAAATAAATTGGTTAGTCTCTAAGGTGCCACAAGTACTCCTTTTCTTTTTTGCGAATACAGACTAACATGGCTGCTACTCTGAAACCTACCTGTAATCAGTTTCTTAATGTATTAGGCTTAGACTTGTATGTTTTGTTTTATTTTGCTTTGTGACTTACTTTGTTCTGTCTGTTATTACTTGAAACCACTTAAATCCCACTTTTCATACTTAATAAAATCACTTTTGTTTATTAGTAAATGCAGAGTAAGTGATTAATAGCTGGGGGAGCAAACAGCTGTGCATATCTCTCTATCCGTGTTATAGAGGGCGGACAATTTATGAGTTTACCCTATATAAGCTTTATACAGAGTAAAACAGATTTATTTGGGGTTTGGATCCCATTGGGAGCTGGGTGTCTGGGTGCTGGAGGCAGGGAACCTGCTGAGCATTTTTTAGTTAAAGTCTGCAGCTTTGTGGGCATGGACTAGACCTGGGTCTGTGCTGCAGCAAGCTATTGTGTCTGTCTCAACAAGGCAGTGTTCTGGAGTCCCAAGCTGACAGGGAAAACGGGCTCAGGAGTTACTTCACCTCACCAGGTGACAGTCCCAAGGGGATCTCTGTGACTGAACCCATCACAGTGGGATCATCCTCTGGCTAGAGTTTTGTCATGGCCAGAATTTAATTTGAGCTGGGGCTTGCCAGGGCTCAGCCCCAGCACCTCTTTTCATGCCAGGGTGCAGCCTTGGCAGCTCTTCTGTCAGTGTCCTTTAGTAAGGCATGCAATTCTACACTTGCCTGTAAGGCGTGACCTTGCAAGTACAGTGTATGAGAGGTCACGCTGTGTGGAGGATGCCGTTTTGTTTTGCTTGAGCTCTGGCACCTCTTTACAAATGAAGCACTGGGCAAGGCTGGGCCTCCCAGGTCTGGATGGGCTCTGCAGTGTGAGGAGAAACACAAAGAGACATGCTTTAAACGGCAACTGGAGACCTCCCTGAACCAGGAAGAACTCATGTTTATTAAGCTTCCTGCTGCAACCATCCTGGTCCTCTCTGGTAAACTGTGGAGGACCAGGAACTCTATAACCACTCCACATCTCCCTTTATGATACATGATTAAAATTTAACCTATAAACCAATGTGTAAAAAGAAAAGGAGTACGTGTGGCACCTTAGAGACTAACAAATTTATTTGAGCATAAGCTTTCGTGAGCTACAGCTCACTTCATCGGATGAAGTGCATCCGATGAAGTGAGCTGTAGCTCACGAAAGCTTATGCTCAAATAAATAAAAAAAAATTTGTTAGTCTCTAAGGTACCACAAGTACTCCTTTTCTTTTAGCGGATACAGACTAACATGGCTGCTCCTCTGAAACCAATGTGTGTACTCACACCACAATCCAAAATAAACTTAAATTCCTTAATACTATTTACACAGCTATGTCCCTTTATCCATTCCATTTAAGTAGTCCTGAACATTATTCTATAGATCACATCTTTGAGGGATTCTCATCAGCCTTACAAACCTTGTTTTCACTTTGGCTGAGTTCTCATGTAGTGTTCCCTGTGGAAACGGCTCAGTTCCTGACAGAGTACCTGCAGATTCTAGAGCCTCTCTTTGTCGTGCTGGGGAATACTGAGAATGAACCCAATTGCTCTGGAGAAGTCCTTTTGGAGTCTCCGCTTGGGAGGATCTGGGAGTTCCTGCTGAGTTTTGAACAGTTCCAAAAGCGAGGAGCTTTTATCTACAATTTTTTCCCTGGGCTCAGTTCAGGCAGTGCTTTCGTTCTGTACTGAACATTGAAGTTTTATTGCTGCTGAATTTTTGTTGCAGCATTCAGTTTTCAAATTCCTTCAGGTCAAGCCACTTTGGTTTAAGTCTACATTGAACTTGTTCTGGCAGCAATTCCAGCATCAGCCGGCTGACTTCAGCAAATTAGAGATGAACAACTAAAGCCTGAAACTTGCCAGAAATTGACTCACCTCTACTAAAGAAGACATCTTCCAACAGGCCTTCTACCATATTAGCAGGACCAAAGTGATGTTCACAGAGCTGATGGCCTGCTTCTGAAAGGACGGCACTTTTTTATGCTGGCAGTATTTCAGAAAGATGCCCTCCAAAATCTATTTTAGGGACATCAAGATATAACCAAGTGCAGGGATGAGCACAAGAATTTACATAGTGACCTGATCTGAGGAGGAACCTTAATAGAGGGTACCATGATGCTATAGACTTCCTTGGCCTCCACTGCTCCCTGGCATCTTCCCCTTGGGAGGATCCAGGAGAAAGGGCAAACCTGCTCATATTAATGTTGATTCAATCCATACCAGCTCTAGAAAAGCCCTGGAAAGACAATGAGCAGTTCAGCTGCAGCCTATACAGTTCTCTCACCAGGTACTCCACCAATTTCCCTGTCATAAAACTGCTCCATATTGCAGGCACACAGAAGGGCCACCATCTGGACAGCCTTCGCCTACTGGACCAGGTCAACAGTGAGGTCTGGAAAGAAGAGGGCAGGAAATGAGGGCTCACATTTAATCACTTAAAGATATGTTTTCCTGAGAGACCAGCTTGGGACACTGTACTTGTGACTGTGAATAGCCCGTATTCTGGTGTATGGCACCGTAATCTGATCTGAGTCACTTTGACCCTATGAGAATTGTGCACCTTACACATCTTTACTGAAAGAAACATTCTATTAACCTTGGCATACGAACCCAACAAGATGGGAATAATATAGCTAGGTGTGTATTTGTACCATTGTCTTATGCTGAACAGAATGCCAGGCCTGGTCAGGTGTATCAGAATAGTCACGCTCTTGTTCCCATGAGCCAGAGAAGGTACATAAGCCTTAATACTACTAAAGCTAATAGTGATTCTTGTTCCGCTCATGTGACAGGAGCGTGTGTTTCCAGCCCTGAAGATCTTGTGTTCTATTCCCTGTGCTCCATGTGTGATGGCTAGGGCTGCACATTTGTCATGGGTGGGAAACTCTCACAAAGAGTGTGATTTTTGTGTTTGTCTGTGACTTTTCTCCATGTCTATGACTCACCCCACAACAGCGGTTCCTGCAGCCGCTCCAGGTGTTGCAACCTGGTGCATCTGGTTGCAGCGCTGCTCAGCTTTTGCCCACCTGACCCTCCATAATGATTGCACGGAGGGGAGGGGGAACCTGAGCAGCACTGTGACCCCACACACCAGGTCACAACACCTGGAACGTGGAACCATGCCCAGCCACATGGAACACAGGAACTGCAGGAGCTGCCACTGCTGGGGGAGTGCAGGGCAGGCTCAGTGCTGGGGGAGTGCAGGGCAGGCTTACTCTCCAGCCTCCATCCCCCCAGGGACTCTCCTCCATAGCGGGCCAGGATTAGGGTTGCAGTACCAGGGGGAGAGGGTGCTTCAGTGGTGGTCAGGGCCCCATTGGTGGGGCAGTGAGGAGAGTTTTCTTTTTAAAAAAATCAGGGAGCAGGCACTGGAAGTGTAGCAACCCATGCCTTTTACTACAGTCACTGTGACTGCTCTGGGATTTTTGATAAAAAATAATGTAACAAATGTTCCGCTCTAGTGATGCTTGATACATGGGGAATGGAACCAGGGGCCTCCAGAGCTAAGAGCATGAGATGAGCTAAACAGCCAAGACTCTATAGATGGGGGTTACATATATTTTGGGCTCAGCCCCTGCCCGAGGGGCATGCTACTGACTCTCGCTGGCGCTCCCCTGCCCGAGGGGCGCGCTACTGAGTCTCACCGGCGCTCCCCTGCCCAAGGGGGGCACTATTGACTCTCGCCGGCGCTCCCCTGCCTGAGGGGCGCGCTACCGAGTTTTCCCGACGGCTCGAGTCAACACCACTCTCCGGCCCTGGACGCTTAACCCGACCACCAGGCCCCAGCCCACTCTGCGGCCCCACTGGTGCCCCCACATGGCCGGCGCGCCCAGAGGTAGGACTTGTTTCCGATGTGGTGAGTATGGGCATCTGCAACGGGGCTGTCCAGCAATGGACTGCAACTTTGGCCTGGTGTGCGCCGGGGAGCGACGGGCCCGTCTGCCCTCCGTGGCCAAACTGACAGCTCCCATGAGAGTCGCCGGGGTCCCCGTGGTGGGTCTAGTCGATTCGGGCTGTGGGCAGACCCTTGTCCGCCAGGCACTCTTCTCGGACCCCCAGCAGACCGTCGGGGAAGTAAGGATTCAATGCATCCACGGAGATGTAAAATCGTACCCCACGGTGCGGGTCCCCATTACGGTGCATGGAGTAACGCAGTTAATGAATGTGGCAGTGGCGTCATCCCTCGCCTATCCAGTGATCCTGGGCCGGGACTGGCCAGACTTCGTCGAGGTGCTCCAATCCCTACCCACCAAAGAGGCGTTTGAGGGAGCCCCGCCTGAGAAGAGGACAGGATCTGACTTGAGCTCCGACCCTGGAGCGGAACCAGGACCCACCCCTGGGCAGGAGGCCCTGGAAATGGCGGGTCCCCCTCCTGACCTGGTGGACTTTAGCCGAGATCAAAGGGAGGATCCTACGCTCTGGTTTGCCTACGAGCAGCTGGCCCGGGTGGATGGTGAGGTCGTGGAGGCGCAGCGCACCACCCAGTGGCCCAGGTTTGAACTCAACCACTAGCGGCTCTACCACCTTGACCGAGACCCCCAGACCCAAGAGGTCCGGACCCAACTCGTGGTCCCCCGCATCCATCGTCGGGCTGTCCTGAAGCTTGCACATGACATCCTGGCTGCCAGCCATTTAGGGCAGGAAAAAACTGTGGCCAGGGTCCTGGCCAGGTTCTTCTGGCCCGGCGTCCACCGTGAGGTGAAGGAGTACTGTGCGTAGTGCCCGGACTGCCAACATGCAACCCCAGCCGGGGTACGGAAAGCCCCCCTGGTTCCGTTACCAGTCGTAGGTGTGCCATTTGAGCGGGTAGCAATGGACCTGGTCAGGCCTTTCCCAAAAAGCAAGGCGGGCCATCAATACATCCTCGTCCTGATGGACTACGCCACCCGCTTCCCGGAGGCCATACCCTTAAGAAGTATCACCGCCCGCACTATCGCTGTGGAGCTCGTGAAGATCTTCGCAAGGGTGGGCCTCCCATGGGAGATACTCACTGATCAAGGGACCAACTTCACATCTAAGCTGTTCCGCCAGGTATGTGCCCTATTGGGGATTAAGAAATTGCAGACCTCGGTCTACCATCCCCAGACTGACGGATTGGTCGAGCGGTTCAACTAGACCCTGAAGGGGATGTTGCGGCGTTTCCCCACCCAGGATCTCCGCCAGTGGGACCAGCTGCTCCCTCCTTTACTACTGGCGATTCGAGAAGTCCCACAGGCGTCCAAGAAGTTCTCCCCGTTCGAGCTCCTCTATGGGCGGCGACCCCGCTGGGTGTTGGACCTCTTGAGGGAGACTTGGGAACACAACCCGTCCGCAACACAGGGTCTCTTGCAATATGTCTTACAACTGCAGGGGCGGCTGGTGCGGGCGGCCGAGTTCGCGAGTGAGAACTTAAACACCGCCCAAAGAGCCCAGGAGCAACACTACAATCGGGGCGCCCAGGCTCGATCATTCGGGCCAGGGGACCGAGTACTCCTCCTGCTCCCCTCGGAGGAATCAAAGCTTTTTGCCCGCTGGCAGGGTCCGTATGAGGTCCTCCGCCAGGTAGGGCCGGTAACTTATGAGATTCAGCAACCTGTTCGCCGTAAGGAAAAGCAGATTTATCATGTGAACCTCTTAAAACCTTGGCAGGACCGGGAAGGGCTCATAGTGGCCCCATATCCCCCCGAACCGGAACTGGGGCCCCAACCACCTGAGGAGTTGGATAATGGTGAACCCCAGCTAGCAGAGACACTCACCGTTGAGCAGCAAGACCAGGCACTCTGCTTAGTGAGGGCGTTCTCCAAGACGTTCACCACGAAACCTGGGCAGACTACGCTCACCTACCATGTGATCCAGATGGAACCCGGGACGGTGGTCCGAGAGACAACCTGGCCATTGCCGAGGCGAATGCGGAAGGCCGTAGAGGAGGAAGTCCAGGCGATGTTGGAGCTGGGTGTTATTGAGCCCTCCCAGAGCGAGTGGCGGAGCCCCGTTGTCCTCGTACCGAAGCCCGATGGGAGCCGGCGGTTTTGCATTGACTTCCGGAGGGTCAACGCCATCTCAAAATTTGACGCCTATCCGATGCCCCGCATTGCCGAGCTCCTCGACCGGCTTGGGGAGGCCTGTTATATCACCACTTTAGATCTCACCAAAGGGTACTGGCAGATCCCCTTGGATCCCAGGTCCAAGGAGAAGACCGCGTTTGCCACCCCTTCAGGGTTATACCATTTCACCCGGATGCCTTTCGGCCTACATGGGGCCCCGGCAACCTTCCAGCGTTTGATGGACCGGGTATTGCAACCATACACGAAATACGCGGCGGCCTACCTGGACGATGTGGTCATTTATGGCAATAACTGGGAGGAGCATCTTAACCAAGTAGCGGCAGTCCTCCGGGACCTCCGCACCGCCGGGCTGACGGCCAACCCGAAAAAATGCCGAATCGGGCGGGAGGAAACCACTTACCTGGGGTACACCTTGGGCCGGGGACAGGTCCGCCCCCTCATCAGGAAGGTCCAAGCACTCCAGGAATGTCTGGTGCCGACCACGAAGAGGCAAGTACGTCAATTTTTGGGCTTAGCTGGTTATTACCGGCGGTTTGTACCCCACTTCGCAAGCATTACGGCCCCGCTAACGGATCTCTTGACCAAGGACAGTCCCCGCCGGGTGCATTGGTCCAACGAGTATGAGACGGCCTTTCGAACCATCAAAGAACGGCTGTGTAGCGATCCAATACTCTTCAGCCCCGACTTTCATCGTGACTTTATTGTCCAGAGAGATGCCTCAGGCGTTGGGCTTGGAGGCGGTCCTCTCGCAGGAGGTGGACGGGGAGGAACACCCGATTGTTTACCTCAGTCGGAAGCTGTTCCCCAGAGAATGGAACTACTCCGTCGTGGAGAAAGAGGCCCTAGCCGTTAAGTGGGCAGTCGATGCTCTCCGCTACTACCTCCTCGGGGCCCCCTTTATACTGGTTACGGACCACGCACCCCTGAAATGGCTCAGTAAGATGAAGGACAATAATGCCAGGCTGATGCGATGGTATCTCGCTCTGCAGCCCTATGTCTTCACGATCCACCATTGGGCGGGACGAGACAATGCCAATGCAGATTTCCTATCCCGCCTCGGAGAAGGTGAGGACGCCAGCTCCGAAGATCGGGAGCTGGATTTGAGGGGTGGGGTATGTAGGGAGCCAGGGTGGCTCCCCTCCGAACCAGAGGGTAAAGAGCCACCCTCTGAGCCTGAGTGGGCGGGGCCAGGCCAAGCTTCCGCCAATCCCCGGAAGGGGAAGGGTGGGACAGGAAGTACAAAGGGCGGGGCCCTCTGCCCAGTGAGGAGAGCACCAGGGAGGGAGACAGACACAGGCTGCGGGCTGCTCCCTCGCGATCCTGCTGCTGACCCAGGCGAAGCCCTGGGCAAGGAGGAGCCTGACCGGGGGGAAGGCCTGTGGCAACCAGGGCTGCTGGCCGCTGAATACCCAGAGGACCTGGAGGGGCCTGACTGCAGCCCGGGCCAGCGTGAGTCCAATACCGAGGGGGAGCGGGGGTGGCCCGCAGCGGAATACCCGGAGGAACCGGAGCTGCCCGCAGCGGATTACCCAGAGGAGATGGAGGGACCGGAGCAACCCGCCTGAGAGAGACCGGGTAGGAAGTAGCCCAGGGGCCCAACTACACCATGGGGTGGGTGTGTTTGGTCAGCGGGTGCGGATTTCCCCGCTGACCCAGCGGCGGGACCTTCGCCTCCCACCACTGTCAGGGCCCTGGGCTGGAACGCAGTGGAGTTGGGTGGGCCTGCCTTCCCCCACCCCGGCGCTCCCCTGCCTGAGGGGCGTGCTACTGACTCTCGCCGGCGCTCCCCTGCCTGAGGGGCGCGCTACTGACTCCGGCTGGCACACCTTCCCGCTAATTCCCCAACGCCCGGGAGGTGGGGCCGAGGCCTGCCACAGAGACCATTGCTCTCCATCGCCCCTAGGGGCTCGGAGGACTGACCGACGCCTGTCACACCGCTGAATTTGTTTTTCACAACCTGAGCATGCACCAGCTGCTAACATTGCAGCCTGATGTTGAGGATGTTGTGCTAGTGGCAGTACCATCTTTAATAATTTGGAGATGCTCCATCTCATGGGACCTCAGCTAAGGTATTACGAGGCACCACGCTCTTGGATATGCTCCCTTTCATGGTTGAGACATGTTCTGTTCTCCAGAACCAAAGATGGTGTTGAGGAATTTGTCCTTCAGATTTTAACCCAGTTAATACAACACTCCACAGCAGTTTGGAGTGCCCACTTTGGGCAGTGCTAACCTTTATGACTTGTGTATACTTCATGTTTTAGCATGGTATTGGAAGGTACTAGCCATTGTGACCAGTGCTCCATTTCTCAGTATCCCGGCGTGGCAGTAGGCCTGTGCTATGCTAATTACAGACACAAGTGTGTTAGTAGAAGAGTATCATGCCAGTGATGGCTGGTATGGAATTGTGCCCTGGCCTTGCTGATAGTTTCAATGTGATGATGCCTCCATGTAAATTGCCACAGAAATGCAGATTATTTTCAAGTTGCTGAATAATTTGAATCAAGCTTTCATTAGACAAAAATTAAGACACTTATTAATATGAAGAAAATCTTCAGAATATGAACCGAGTGTCCCTGATGTGCTGATGTCTGCTGGAGTCCGCAGCTCTGGGAGACAGAACAGCCCCCGTCAAGTCAATGGGATGCAAATTAAAGTCTGTCCACTTTTAAATGTCCACATTAAGCATTTAGATACCACAATTACAAACATAAATAATGGGTAGAAGTTTCAACATTACTGAGGGATTTGGATGCCCAATTCCCATTAATGTTAGTGGTGCCTAAATTCCTTTGGCAGCTTTGAACATCCCAGCCATAGCTGTATAACCCATGATAGTTTACATGTTCTGTATTCTCCCTCTCTGAGTAAATCCTTTTGGTTTCCTCTAGATGGTGCTGCTGTGGGCCACTGATGTTCCCTTCCCCTGAGGACTGGGAGGACCTGGAAGGATCAGTCTATAGGCTCCTGGTGATCCTGCTTTGTTGCTTAGCAACCAAAAATCTCCCCCACTTCCTATATCCAGAAGAAAATCTTTTCCAAGGAGAGGATCTAGACCTGAGTGCTTTGTACCACAGAGTCGAGGGGTTTGCCAGCTCACCAGAGCACTTCCTCAAGTGCCATTTCACCCAAGCAAGGCAGAACAATCACCCGTGGCTAGACAATGGTATCAAGACCTCGCTGCAGCTCCCAGATCAGGACGGAGCCTACTAGGACCCAGCCTACTTTGATGTGCTGCTTAGTAAGGTAATTCAGAATCATGGGCCAGGATCCCATCAGAGTGCTGGAACAGTTGGAGGCCCGGATTCTTAGGTGTCTATAGTGTAAACTGAACCCAGCAGGGGAGGGAAGGCTGACAGGAAGAGAAGAAACTGGGCTGAGGGAACTGGGATTGTTTAGTCTGCAGAAGAGAAGAATGAGGGGGGATTTGATAGCATCCTTCAACTACCTGAAAGGGGGTTTCAAAGAGGATGGATCTAGACTGTTCTCGGTGATAGCAGATGACAGAACAAGGAGTAATGGTCTCAAGTTGCAGTGGGGGAGGTTTGGGTTGGATATTGGGAAAAACTTTTTCACTAGAAGGATGGTGAAGCACTGGAATGCATCACCTAGGGAGGTGGTGGAATCTCTTTCCTTTGAGGTTTTTAAGGTCAGGCTTGACAAAACCTTGGTTGAGATGATTTAGTTGGTGTTGGTCCTGCTTTGAGCAGGGGGTTGGACTAGATGACCTCCTGAGGTCCCTTCCAATCCTGATATTCTATGATTCTATGAAAGCTGGTTACAGTTCCCTGATTCTCTGCCCTGGGTGCAAGATAGAGTGGGTTAGGAGATGCTCTAATCTGTGTTAGCTGACTGTGATCCTCAGAGAAACTTCCACCAGCTGGGCATTGCTGAAGCTCCTTGCCATGCCCACACTGTCATGTGGCTAGAGGTAGGATTCCTCAGAAATATCCAAATAGGTCAGCATGGTGCTAGAGTGCTAGAGCCACACGCAGCTCTCTGGGGCTGAGAAATGCCTCTGATCGGCAGCATTTTCTGATCAGAGTGGGCCTCCCATCTAACTCCTCCTCTTTTCCTTTTGTTCAGTTCCAGGTTTATCACATCCAGGACAAAGAACAGATCTCTGCTCTGTCGAACATCTTGTCAAAGACCGAGAAGGTGGTTAATGACCAAAGCTGAGCCAGCTCACCTCACATGGTCACGCCCTGAACCTATAGACTGAATGGGTTCCCCCCACATTTGCCTTTACTGCCTTGATCACAGCAGCTGTTCTGGGAACCCAATATCCATTGGCTTCACAGTGCACAAATGGGAAAAAGAGCAATTGGGACAGAGCTGAAATAAGCTGGTGGTGGAGGCTGGGTGTTGACACCTGAGTGTCACCAGAACAGGAGAGGGGATGGGGCTACCCATGGCGCATAGACCCTTTTCAGTCCTCTGCCTTTGAATTGCTAGATGAATGGACACAAGATACAGTTCTCTGTATATGACACACTCAAGTACACTACTACCACATGGCTGCATAGCTGAGCTCCAGTCAGTGTAGGGTAAGCCATGCTCTGTGGAATTACTCTTAGTATTGCCGATCACTTGTACTGTGTGGTCTGCTAGAGGAAGAATGGTGTTCTGTAGCAAATTAGAGTCACACACAATCTGTGCTGTGCCATATGTCACTGTTTATTAATCCAGTATGATCTATTCCGGGGTCATGCCCTGTGCATCAGTGAATTTACAGATGTATATAGCATACATTTTTTGCATGGGTGTGCCAGTAGAGCTTGGCTGTTGAAGGGAGCTTCCAAGTCCCTGATTGGTTGTAATATCTGCTTTGATGATGTAGTTTCCTGTTTGTGGTACTACTGTAAGCAGGATCATGAGCCCCTCCAGGCTGCTGTGCTCATGCTGAAAGGACCAACATGGCAGAGGGCAAGAAGGAGGAGGAATAGGAAACCTTGATCCCAGGAATCCAGGGGCCTGCAAGTCAGTGTGCAGCAGGGAGCATGAAGCTGTTGTGCTGGAGGGCAGGTGTGAACAGAGCGGGCATGGATGCACCAGTCCAGCCCTTGGCACTCAGCACATGCCTGCATGCCTGCTGTCTTAAAAGAGGGCAGGGTGTGAAAGGGGGAGAGCATAGGAAGAGAATGGGCCTGGCTGAGGAGACCAGGACTTAACTTTAGCTCGGTGCTTGCCTCTCTGGCCTTGCTGTCGCTGCTAGGCAGGAGCACCAGGGTGCCCAGCAGCACTCTCACTGATGCAGGTTCAGGTTCCACTGTACTCTCAAGTCCTTCCCATCCCTTTTTCTTCATCCTTCACCTGAATGCTGCCAGATAAAGTCCTGAGAGGGGGTGTAGGTTGATTCTGTAGCATGCTGCCTCTCTCAAACTCCTGATTTGGGTAAGATGGCAGCCCAAGCAGATCTGGAGTTCTGCAGCTGGCAACAAGTTGGAACGCTTTATCCCTCTCCTCATACATCTCATCTGCCCTTACCCCCTCTCCCCCCCACCCAGTCACCTCCCCGCTCTTGCACTGTCAGTTCCACACTACCCTGATCACATCTTGGTCATTCATCAATAAAGCGAAAACTCTGAATATCTATGTGCAGATCCACCTGACACTGCTAATAATCAATTCTCAATGGAGCATGGCTCCCTGGGTATGGCATGGTTCATTTTTCCCCCGTAGGGTGCTGCAGCTGGTCTGGCGCTCACCAATATTTCATCGGGTACAACAGACATGAGGGAAATGAGAGCAGTGGTCCCACTTCAGCCTCCTGCTTGAGTTTGGGAGAAGACAGTGGCATGAGCAAGGCCTGAAATGATCTCTTTGTACTTGTGTCTGCAGCTGCACTAGGAGCAGCTCACAGCTTGTTCTTGTGGCAGTGCTGGAGGGCATCTTTCAGGGCATGCAGGACTTGGTCCGCATTGAATTTGGTGGAGTTATAGCCCATGAGTCCTATTCGAAGAACCTGAAATTGAGAGAAAAGGAAACTCAATAGAGAGTAGTAAATATTAATGAGATCAAATTGGTTTTCCAGGATCAGCCCAGTGACATGTCGGATTGCATGACTGCAGGAGATGCAAGGCTCACGGGGGAGGTGAGAACCATACCAGTGACTTCCTACACACATACCATATAATAGGCCAGATTCTCCAGTGCCCTGCACCATGTACTGTCACTTATGCCTGGGCAAAGTGAATGCAAAGGAGGTGTAAAAAGGTAGCAGATCAGAATGGTGTCAAGCTCCCGGCACAGCCATACTGCAGTAGTGTACGCTGTAGAAGGTGCACGACAGTGGGGGAATCAGACCACATAGATGTAATTGTTTTTGTTATCATTAATTGAAGCAAATACAAGTAAAATGAAAACACAAGAAATCTTCAGCTTCTTTGGTGGCACCTGCTTTAGTTCTGCTGGCCAGTATGCCAAAGGTAAAATATACTAGGGAGCAAATTTGTGGCTGAGTTGCAACTAGGGTGACCACCTACAGTTAGAGATAATAAATTACATGATATGAAACACTAAAACAAAGCTTATTTGTAAGGGGCCACCCCTCCCAATGCTTTATTCATCCCTTTGTATCATGTTATACTATTCCTTATGACTACTGGAGAAAAAAGAAAAGGAGTACTTGTGGCACCTTAGAGACTAACCAATTTATTTGAGCATAAGCTTTCGTGAGCTACAGCTCACTTCATCGGATGCATCACGAAAGCTTATGCTCAAATAAATTGGTTAGTCTCTAAGGTGCCACAAGTACTCCTTTTCTTTTTGCAAATACAGATTAACATGGCTGTTACTGGAGAAAAGTACCTCATATATTGACATGGGTTGATCCAATTCCAATTGAAAGCAATGGGAGTCTTTCTATTGACTTCAGTAGGAGTTGGATCGTGCCTCCAATAAGGAATAGCTCTTAAAATAAGGAATCAGTGGTCAACCTAGGTTCTCCTAGCCAAGGCCCTGCAAGAATAGCTTTGCTTTTAAACTCATCCCTGTAAGTCTGTAAGCTTCTCACAAGTGTTATGCCCAACCCAGAACAAGGTATACTCTCTACTGAGTCTTGGAAAAAGTGCTCAAAGTACTAGACCTAAAGCCAGCATAAATATCATGCTGTTATTGAAACTTCCCTCTCCTCTAATAAATGATTGCATTTGAACTTTTTCATTTTCCCTAGTCTCTTCCAGTTTAGGGTAATGATTGGTTAGTAACAAGCCTATGGAAAAAGACTCTTCAATGCAGCTCTGTCTTAGGTATCCTCTTTTAATTTGCATTCATTAACACAAACAAGGAAAATATGGAAAGAACAAAGGCTAGCTTTTCCTCTCCTCTGAAATTTGCTTATGCAAATTTGTCTACAAGCAATTCCATTCTCTCTTGGAAAGACCTACAAATGCTGCACCTTCTACCACACAAATAGTGTTGTGTGTTGCGGGGGGGAGGAGGTTGTTTGTTATTGCATCCCCTAATTAAACAGACTTCTTTGTTAGAATTCCCTCACAGAACGACTGGCCCCTTTAAAAGGAAATGGGTCCAAGTTCACCTGTGTCTAGTTAGTTGCCTGATAGAGGGCACCTGACCTCTATAGAGACCCAGGCATCAGTTGAGAAAGGGGAGTAGGAAGCAGCAGCAGGAAGGTAGAGAAGAGCAACTTGGCCAGCCCTGGGGACCATGAGGGAAACGGAGGCAGGACTCATCTGTATCGCTGTGGTTGGCTACAGAAGGGTGGTAAACCCTGCTACAGGTTCCCAATAGTCACTGCTTATTTCGCAAGTGGCTGTAAGAACACAGCATGCCAGGCCTTATCTTGAGAGCTTTTTCTCCAAGTTTGCTTGTGGCTGGATCTCAATGCATGAAGCCCTGAGGCAGTGGTTTGTATCAGTCTTGGGCTGCATTCCGTAGGGAAGGCTCCTCCCCAGCACTACACATAAGTCTATCTAGACGCCTCGAGAGATCTGCAACCTTGGCACCAGGCAGGCAAGTCACCATACGGTTCTCCCGGTCATCACAAACCCAGCTCTCTATGTTTCTAATGATCGAATCTCCCATTACTAACACCTGCCTTTTCCTAATGACTAGAGTTCCCTCCCCTGGAGAGGTAACCTCAGTGCGAGAGGATACCCCAACATCATCTGGAAGGAGGGTCCCAACTATGGGAAGGAGTCCTTGTGGCACCTTAGAGACTAACCAATTTATTTGAGCATAAGCTTTCGTGAGCTACAGCTCACTTCATCGGATGCATCATGTAGCTCATGAAAGCTTATGCTCAAATAAATTGGTTAGTCTCTAAGGTGCCACAAGTACTCCTTTTCTTTTTGTGAATACAGACTAACACGGCTGCTACTCTGAAACCTGTAACTATGGGAAGGTTTCCCTCTGTTCCCGTTGACTGCTCTCCTTCTCTGGGCTTTTCATCCTCCTTAACAGTGCAGGGGCTGTCTGACCGGAGGTGGGACTAATCTACAGTGTCCCAGAAAGCCTCATCAGCATACCTCTCTGCCTCCCTTAGCTCCTCCAGTTCCGCCACTCTGGCCTCCAAAGCCCATACACTGTCTCTGAGGGCCAGGAGCTCCTTGCACCAAATGCACATATGCGCCACTCGCCCACAGGGCAGGTAATCATACATGCTACACTTAGTCCCCATTCTCCTGCTGGGCTTCTGCCTGCATTTTCTCCTACAGCTACCAAGGTTAATGACAGGGTTTTTATTTAAATCAAGAAGTTCTGATTATAGGTTAGTTTTGATTATAGATTATAGTTTAGTTTAAAGGTTTTAAAGAATGGCAAGTGTACTTTGTCCCCTTTCCAAACTTCCTCTCGAAACTCCCTGTTAGCAGTCCTTGGTCGCTTGCTCACTGCTTTATAAAGCCCTGGCCTTCTTGATACCCCTGCCCCCGACTAAGGCTCAGCCAATGAACAGAGGCTTCGAGATTTCAAACCTTGTTTAGAAGCTCACAGCTTCCAACTGCTGGCCCCATAGCACATGGTCCTTCAAACAAACAAACAGACAGACAGACAGACAAACACAAGTTCAGCACACAGCAAGTAACCCCCAAACACACACTACAGACAGCCACTTACCCCAAGGGTCCAGTATTTGCTCCTCCTTCACCTGGAGAACTCCCTCTCAAAACTCCCTGTTAGCGGTTCCTGTTCGCAAAGTACCTGACTAGCCACAGAGACTTGCAGAGTTCAACCCTGGTTGGCAGCTTGGACCTACCTTCCCCGCCGATGGTCCCAGGCCCCCTGAGATCTCTATTGCATGTTTATTCATAATAAACGTTGTGACCTCCTTCCAGTCATATCCCTCAGGTAGGACAAAGGTGGTGATTGTAGGGAGCCGCACCTCCTGAAAAACAGAGACATGGTGTCAGATCCACGCAGGAGGTCTCCTCTGGGCGTGTGCAAACAGTCCTCTTCCCGCTCCTCCCTATTCCTTCTGCACCTTGCTGCAAACCTTGCAGTCTGGAACAAAGATTCCTTTCTATGGGGAAGATCCTGCTTTTCCATCCTTGGTTGGCTGGGAATCTCCCAGCGTGTGAAACCTCCTGAGAAATTCAGAGCTGGGCGAGATCCCCAACTGTTAGCAATCAGCATAACTCTGCCAAAGTCAGTGGAGCTACACTGATTTACATGAGCCAAGAATCTGGCCTCATCTGTCCCAAACTATCCCCTTAACTCTCTCTTTCTCTCTAGCCCAGCCGGATGACACTTCGTCCACAGTGTCACTCTACCAACACCAGTGAGATCCAGCAGGTCTATACAGTGTCCAGTAATATCAGCCCAAGTCCTACCTGTTCCTTCACAAAGAGTTGGAGACCCAGCTGTTGCAGCCCTGCACACAGGTAGAGACTGTTCTCCTTGTGAAGCTTCCAGGAGTTCTCCAGCCCCTGGGCCAACGGGGAGAAGAGCAGAGCCATTAGCTAGGAGAAAAGGAGTACTTGTGGCACCTTAGAGACTAACCAATTTATTTGAGCATGAGCTTTCGTGAGCTACAGCTCACTTCATCAGATGTTTACCGTGAGCTGTAGCTCACGAAAGCTCATGCTCAAATAAATTGGTTAGTCTCTAAGGTGCCACAAGTACTCCTTTTCTTTTTGCGAATACAGACTAACACGGCTGTTCCTCTGAAACCTGTCATTAGCTAGGAGGTTACTGTCCTAGGGCCAGGCATGTAACAGGCAGACACAAATCCTGGGTCAGATAGGTTGATTTCACGTTTCATCTTGATGGGGAGAAGAAGGCTCAGGTGATCCTTTATGGGACCGCTCACCTCCCAAGCACCAGTTCCCATCTAGTCCAGGTCTGAAACGACCACAATTTGTTACCCCTTGATGGCTGCTCGATGGCCACACAAACCGAGCCCAGTCCTCGGCAGTGTCTCCACCACAAAAAGCAGCTCCCCCAAGATTGGCCTCCTGCCTGGCAGGCTCAGCAAGAGGCCAGGACTGAATGGCAGTGGAGACTGGACTGGACTATTGCCCCTCCAGGAGATCCCTCCTGGTCAGGGTCTAGGCAAACGCTTTGATGTTTGCGTGGCAGCTGCCCATACAGTGGTTAAATAAAAGACTTCAATCTCCAGGGCTGTCCAACTGGTTTCTTCCATAAGCACCAAGCACAGATTTTTAAAGGCATTTAGGTGCCTACAGAGGCAGACAGGCATCTAGCTCCATTTGAAAATCCCACCTGGCCTCTGTTTGATCTTTAAGCACCTAAATACTTTAAAAAATAGCAGTGTTGTCTTCAACTACATTTCTAAATAGCAATCCCAGCAACCAGCTCGGTGATGATAGTCCCAGTCTTGTTTTCCCACTAATGTTCCTTCTCTTTGCCTTTCTCCACCCTGCCTGGCCCGAGTGCCTCCTGCCGTTGCTCACCTGTTCTGCAAGGATTGCCAAGCCCTCCCTCAGGCTGAAGAAGCTATTGATCGGTGCAGTATGATGGTATCTGTAATATACATGCGACATGCTGGAGAAGGGCTCATGACCACAATGACTAAATACATTATTGGATCAAATCAATACATTACAATCAATACTGAACCCTAGACAAATCCTGGAGGCTAAGCCACCAAAACCATACTTCAGCCTGACCTCCTCTTTCTATCCCACCATAGCAGGGGAAAAGGAAATGAATGAGGTTACTACACTGACATCAGAGATTGGAACTTCATGAAGACTAAGCAGGAGCACTGGATCTGCTGACGCCAAGGATGTGGATAGCAGGATGCTGTAAGTTGGTGCTATGTGAGAAGTACTGTATTCTCTGATTCACCTCTCCTCTTCTAGTGAGGTGAGAGGGGTGGGGCATTAATTAGTTTTGGGGGAAGAATGAGGATTAGCTCAGGGTTAGGGTGAGGGTGGACACAAGGGGCTTCGGGTCAGATTGAAGTTTAGATGAGAAGTAGGTATGTTGTGAGGTCTGAATGGATGTCAAGTATGGGGCTGGGGTGAGTGCTGGGTTCAGATGTGATTTGGGTGGGATTTCAATCTGGACTGAAGTGGAAATGCTTTGTGATTTGGATGAAAGTCCATCTGGACTCAGGTCGTGGTGTGTTAAATCTCTGGTCAGAGAGCTGCTTCCTGGACACCCCAAAGCTCGCCCCTCACATTCTTGGCTTGTCGTCACAGCCCCAGTAATTGGCCAGCCAGCCCATGTCCAGGAAGAAGGAAGGTGGCTTCGTCCTCCTGCTGAAAATCTTCTTCCTGACAACATGGATATGACAAAGCTGAGTAAACAATCCTAGGAGCTCTGCCCTCCAGCCAGAACCTTTACTTAGTTTTCCTACTACATGCACCACACAGACACACTCCTGGCCCCTCTGTGCCTCATTTTCCCCACCTGTAAAATGGGGATAACGATACTGCCCTCCTGTAAGGCACTTTGAGATCAGGCAAGGGAAGCACTAGATACGAGATAGGTGTGGTTATTGTTAACTAGTTGAGCTTACTCCCACTGACTAGGGAAGGGAGGGGTTGCTTGGGTGGCACTCAGACGTGACACTGACAGAGGAACTGCTGGGACCGAAATCGATACAACAGATTAGATAATGGTGAGGTGGAAAGGAATCCCGCTGAGTGCCCCATGGGGGAGAAGGCAGCCACTGCACCAGTCAGAACCAACCCAATGAGATAGTGACAGTGCCTGGCTTCCTGCAGCTTGAACTGGCTGTGGGTGCAGAGGGCTCCTGTGTGCTGGGGAGGCTCTGAGAGGCCGGGGCTTCAGGGGTAATGCCTGCACCTCAGGCTTAACTGGAAGTTGTCAGGCCTGGTCAGCGGTTGCTTTTACTCCCCTCTGCATATGATGTAGGGCCCAAGCTTGCCACCCTTCCTCCCACAGCGCAGCGCGGGCTCATGGGAGGGGTCCCCTAGATTCCAGTGGCACTGCCCTCAGGAGTGATAGCCCTGCTGCTTGAGGGCTGAGCGATCACCCAGCTGTACACCTAGGAATCAATGGTCTCAGTCACTGGGAGCGGGGATATTTCTGGGTGCTTGAACACCTTGGGCTGGACTTGCCCATGTGTAACAGAGGGTTGCATGTGGGCCACCTTTTCCCTCTTTCAGGGACATTGTTCAACCTGTGTAGGTGCTTCTACACATCTGTGGACCTTAGTCACCTGCTGCTTAGCCTGCCCTAGTGTTGTGTACATGAGCACCTCTACCTGGCCCTGTGCTTTCACCAATGTGTTTCACAATCCACAGGGATGGCAGTGTTGTCCTCACCTGGCTCGCTCACTGAAGGAGATAGGGGCACTGCCAGGGGGAGCATTCAAGACTTTTTGAGATCCCGAGTACAAGATGTCAATACCTGTGTTAAATGGAAAAATAGTGTGTTAGAAACCCAGCCATTTAAGATTGATTGTGGAGGAAAGGCAGCAACACCATCCTTTCAGTCCTGACTAGCAACTAGCTTTCAGTTAGGAGTCCAGTTCTGCACCCAGGGCCAGATTAACTCTCCTGTGGGCCCAGGGCTATTAGATTTTGGGGGGCGCTGTATACGAGTCTTTTTCCTAGTTTAAAACAAAAGGATCACAATTATGGCATCGAAGCTATTAATGCTGTACTAAACTTGCCTTTTAATTAACATAAAGCCATTCTGTGGTTACATTTCAGTCTTAAAACATGTAGAATATAGTTAAGTTAATTCAAAATAGCCTACTTCTTACCTTAGAACAGCTGTTATATTTCTTTCTGGTCTTCAGAGCTGAGAAATCCTTGATGATGTCACTGAAATCTAGTTGACAAAGCAAGTCATACTCTATTGACATTAGAGTCAAATTATTCAGTTTCATCAGCTTGTTTTTTATTAGCGCCAGTTTTGAAAACGATCATTCTCCTCCAGTGTTAATTACTGGCAGTGTCAAAAAAATCCATAAGGCAATGTCTACATTGAGAAACACAGACTGCAGACGAAAAGTAGTGTCTTTACTGTTTTGTTTTTCTCGTGTTTTGTGAACTCCCTAAATTGAACCACTTCATCTGCAAAATCCTCTTGTAAGTTGTACTATATTTGTTTTGTAGTTTAACAGCTGAATCATGTTCTGATGCAGAAAGTAGATGAAGATTGTTCATAAATCCGAAGTAGCCGCATATCTCTTTGTATGCCTCATACCTGCAATGCAGCTCTGCAACAGGTTTATCAATAACAATGTTGAAAACCTCCACACCAAATTTCTCTAGGCCTGACAACTTACTGTCTGGCTCCCCAGACTCGTCCTGTTGTTTTTTACGCTTCAGTTCACAGTGCTTTTCTGATTTATACTGTTGAGAAACTCGAGGTGTCATTTGTTTAGTGGTAGTTTCAAAGCTGTCAAACTGAACTCATAGACCAGCCACAAAATCCTTTAAAGAGCCCACCAACTTTACAGCATTAGGCAAGTCAAGGTCAACAACCTGAAGTGCAGTGCTTGTTGCTTGAAATCTCTGTGGAACTGTGTTCCAGAGGTTGCAAAGAAAAACAATTTCCAGCTTGTCCATTTTCATGACCAGTGATCGAGCATCATTGCACATATTTGGGTTCTGATTTGGATCATCAACTAGTTTTTGGAGAGATTCCTGAATATTTTCATAATTCAGTCGTAGTGCTTTTGTAGCCTGGGAATGTGTGGACCACCTTATATCTGAAAGAGCTTTCAGCATCTCGATTTGCTTATTGTCATTTGGCTCTAATCCTGCCGTAACAATTTGCCAGCGAATGGTTGATTTTGAGCAGAAATTAAAAAGTGACTGGACAAAGGAAAAAAACATGTTTGCCTCCAAGCAGCTGTTTACGCTCCTAACCCAACTAAAATGAGAGTGTGAGCTGCACAAGGTACCCATTCTACTAAAGGGTTTATCTCCCAAATTCGTGATTGCAGACCTCTGTATGCCCCTGACATGCTACTAGCATTGTCATAACACTGACCTCTGCAATTTGCTATGTCAATGTCCATCTTCTGCAAAACTGTCAAAACTGAATTACAAAGTGATTCTCCAGTATGACTTGTTATTGCGAGAAATTAAAGAAAACACTCTTGAATCTGCCCCTCTTGCGACACACTGCAGACAATGAACGTACGTTGATTTACATGAGATATGTCAGGAGTGGAATCTACAATAATTGAAAAGTTCTTTGCAATCTGCAACTGACTGTTTATTTCTAAAAGCACCCTTTGTCCCATTAAAATTACAAATTCCTCACAAATCGCTGAAGAAAGGTATGAAGACCTTTCTTTATCAGCATTCCCATATTTTTTTATATGTTCATTTAGAAAAGGATCAAACTGACTCAATAATTCCAAGGTGCCCAAGTAATTCCCATTATTGGGGGATCCAACAATTTCATTGTCTCCTTTGAAAGAAAGCCCACACTCCGCCAGAAACTTAACAACTGCAACAACCCATCTGAGAACCTCTTTCCAATAAGCATGGTCAGTTTGAAACTGTTTTTCCAGTTCTGAGTCAATTTGCCCTTTGGCTTGTGTCCAAGAAATCCTGGTAAGCATTGTATTTCTGTGACAAATGTTGTTCTCGTGCTAAACAACACAAACTGCATCATGTTTCCAGTCATTAAAGCCACAACCACTAAATGCCCTTGTATGAGAGGATAAATCTTCAATCGACACATAAAACAAAAAACAGACCCTGTTGATGGAGAATAAAGAAGTCACTCATGAGGTACAGATTCCCCATTTTGAAGAGTACGTGTGAAGAGGGTTTTTGATAAACACCATTTCTAATGTTTGTATTGTTTTTCAGATGCTGTAAAATCACAATTTTTGTTTTGACATAGTGTTGGCCCTTTTGTGATCCAATAAGATCACACTGTTTCATTTATTGGGCCCCAGCGTGCTGCATCAGTGCTGTATGGACAAAGTTAGCTGCGTTTTTACCTTCATCACATGCAGCTATTTCACTCTCATCCAAAACTGGCTGACTGACTGTGTCTGCTGTGGCTGCTGTCGTTCGCTTGTGAGGATTTGTGATGCTCGTTGACTTATTTTCCAAATCACTAATATCTGGTGCATTTGTTGGTGGTTTACTGAAATAGCCTGTCAATTTTGGTATTTTGTTTAACAACTGTTCCTCATGAATCGTTTTTAACTTCTGCGCTTTCCTCTTTTGAGCTCTGCTATCATATTTTCTAGGTGTACCATTATCCGACATTTTTATAAAGCCCCTGCACAGGCACACAGATCCAAGCGATAAGAAATGGCACATGATTTGATTTTATCGCATGATAATTATGATCAGGAAGTTGTTTTAATAAGATATATTGGTAAAATAGATTTGTTCTATCCCAAACCATAGATCATACATTTATATAGATATATATATATTTTCATGTATATAATTATGGATTTATTTTTGTGGGGCCCCCTTTAGCCCAAGGCCCTGGGTTGCAGCCCCCTAAACCCTCTGAGTTAATCCGGCCCTGTCTGCACCCTATCATTTCCTCAAAAATGCCTCATGTCTCATTACATATGGGCCAGCAGCTCCAACACACACCCTCTTGAACTTCAACCACTGACTGCAATACACCAGGACATCTCATCTCACACTGCACATACATTACCTTAGAACGACCATTCCATTGCCAGCCAGCCAAGCCAATCTGCATAATGCACAATTCACTATTCTCAACTCATTATCCATTACCCTAAGGATAGAGTGGTTTTAATATCCCATTAGTGCCTCTTAGTCACCCTGTGATCTGGTTCAAACTACTCCTGAAAGTGAATAGAAACTGCACCAGCAGTTAGTATCCCTAGTGAGCCATAGTGACATGACAAACTAATCATAGGTCCATTGAGGAGAGGGCTATGGGTCAGAGTTAAGGCTCTTTGTGAACACAAACTATAAGGATTTACAGTCCTGACTACATTTTCTCCAGTTTTGGGAGGAATTTCTCTCACAATGGAGAGAGGTAAATCATGGGGTTCCCCAAAGGTCTGTACTGAGACCAGGGCTGTTCAACATATTCATAAATTATTTGGAAAAAGGGGTAAACAGTGAGGTGGCAACATTTGCAGATGACACAAAATTACTCAATATAGTTAAGTCCAAAGCTGACTGTGAACAGTTACAAAGGGATTTCACAAAACTGGGTGACTGGGTAAATGAAATTCAATGTTGATAAATATAAAGTAATGCACATTAGAAAACATAATCCCAACATACATACTCCAGAAAAAGATCTTAGAGTCATCGTGGATAGTTCTCTAAAAACAACTGCTCAATGTGAAGCAGCAATCAAAAAAGCTAACCGAATGTTAGGAACCATTAGGCAAGAGAGAGACAATAAGACAGAAAATACCATAATGCCCCTATATTAATCTACAGTACACCCTGTCACGGTTCCTCCCCCACTCTGAACTCTAGGCTACACATGTGGGGACCTGCATGAAAAACCTCCTCAGCTTATCTTTACCAGCTTAGGTCAAAACTTCCCCAAGGTACAAAATATTCCACCCTTTGTCCTTGGATTGGCCGCTACCACCACCAAACTAATACTGGTTACTGGGGAAGAGCTGTTTGGACGCGTCTTTCCCCCCAAAATACTTCCCAAAACCTTGCACCCCACTTCCTGGACAAGGTTTGGTAAAAAGCCTCACCAATTTGCCTAGGTGACTACAGACCCAGACCCTTGGATCTTAAGAACAATGAACAATCCTCCCAACACTTGCACCCCCCCTTTCCTGGGAAATGCTGGATAAAAAGCCTCACCAATTTGCATAGGTGACCACAGACCCAAACCCTTGGATCTGAGAACAATGAAAAAGCATTCAGTTTTCTTACAAGAAGACTTTTAATAAAAATAGAAGTAAATAGAAATAAAGAAATCCCCCCTGTAAAATCAGGATGGTAGATACCTTACAGGGTAATTAGATTCAAAAACATAGAGAACCCCTCTAGGCAAAACCTTAAGTTACAAAAAAGATACACAGACAGAAATAGTTATTCTATTCAGCACAGTTCTTTTCTCAGCCATTTAAAGAAATCATAATCTAACACGTACCTAGCTAGATTACTTACTAAAAGTTCTAAGACTCCATTCCTGGTCTATCCCCGGCCAAGACAGAATATAGACAGACCCACAGACCCTTTGTTTCTCTCCCTCCTCCCAGCTTCTGAAAGTATCTTGTCTCCTCATTGGTCATTTTGGTCAGGTGCCAGCGAGGTTACCTTTAGCTTCTTAACCCTTTACAGGTGAGAGGAGCTTTCCCCTGGCCAGGAGGGATTTCAAAGGGGTTTACTCTTCCCTTTATATTTATGACACACCCACATCTTGAATACCGAGTGCAGAGTTGGTCTCCCCATTGCTACAAA